ACACAATGTCCATGCATCGCTGAAATGTTGCCGGGGGCCCCTGAAAGGCCAAACGGCATACGCAAAAATGCATAAGTGCCAGACTTGGTTATAAAAGCAGTCTTAGGCACGTCCTCAGGCCTAACCCCTATTTGAAAATAACCAGTCGTTAAGTCTAAAGTCGTCATAAATTTGGTTGATTTTATGTTCCTTAAAATTTCTTCTATGATCGGTAACGGATATACCGGATATTTCGTTATGGGAGTTTAATTTACGGTAATCAATAGCGAATCTCCACCTTTTTGGATGCGTCCAAAGGATAGTCATTATTTTTCTTACATAAAACCACCGGGCTAGCATAACTACTTGAGATGGGCGTTATGATCTTTTTACGTAGCATATCGGTAATATGCCATTCTATAATTTTTTCCTTATTCTTATCATACCGGTATGGTTTTTGACGAACTGGCATTGCATCTCCGGTGTCAATACTATGGTTAGTAACCTGAGTAAATCCTGGAATATCACTAAATAACGAAGCAAATTCACTTACCACTTGTCGGATTCTATCCTTGCTCGTCATTAGGCAGGTGGTCAAGATTTAACATCGGCGGTTCAGCCTTTTCTACACGAACTGGTTTCATTGTCAGCTTAAGGGACGCTTCATTAAAATCCAGTGTTGCTTGTGCGTCTGAAAGAAAATCTATTCCTAAGATTAATATGTGCTTGCAGATTCTTTACTATAAAAAACATCACCTTTACTTGTTCGTCCTTGATACGGATATACAAAGGTACTTTACCTACGCACTTACATTTTTTCTCCTTGCGCCGCTAACACTGTCGTATTATCCGCATTATATATGCGGTATTTGCGAAAATACTTCCTAAAAAAATCTTCTGCCACACAGGAACACTGCGCGCCGGTATCCAGGAGTGCGGTGGCTGGGATATTATTCACCAAGACTTCAATCTTCGGAAGAGTCAAATTTTTCACCATTACTGTATTTAACTTGTAGGAAGAGGGGTTTTCGTGGCCTTCGGATTTCCGCACCCTCCCGTCAGCAGAAATCCGTTTTAGTTTAAATTATTTTTCCTTTCCGTGCTTTCCTTCTTTTTCCACTGGCCTTGAGACTTTTTTCCTGGGTTGCTATTGAACTGTCGACGTTCGCCGGCTGTTTTTGAATGCTCGGGTTTCCTTGCCCACTGATTCGCTTTTTCTCCGTAGCCGTGTGCTTGAGTTTGCTGTAGTCTTGGCGTACCAAATTGGTTTCGCTGTTGATATTGGCGTCTTCTTTCGACGTCCGCCGTTCTTCTACTTTCAAACTGGATTGCTAGCTCAAATAACTTTTCCAGTGTAGTCGGATTTCTTAATTCAATGAAGTCTTGCACTTGGGGCAGTAACCTCGGCAAAATCACTTGAATTATTTCAGGATCCGGACGGTTTCCATACAAGAGCTTGAAAAACGTGAATTTCTCGAGAGGTTTTCGATTTTTTGTTGATATATACTGAAAAGTTCCGTTTCTAATTTCGCACGATCCCTTACAACAGGGAAGGCTTTTAGTAGGGCAGTCTTGAAATTTTCGTAAGTATAGGTGGGACTTCCTGCTTGACCCAAGAGACTTCTGCCTATACATTTGAACCAGTTAAGCGCTTGGCCCCTCAAAGCGCTGGTAGCTAAGGTAACTTTTTGAAACTCGTGCACGGGGTAGAGCATGAAGTGGTCATCCAATTTTTCCAAAAAACTGGTTACCGGTGAGTTTCCATTAAACGTTGCTTCTGGTTTCATCGAAGCGCGCATGGTCTGGACGATGTAACCAAATCCTTCCAGGGCGGCAGCTGGCATTTCTGGATTCTGAGCCGTTTCTGCAGGCAGCACAGGTTCTTCTTGAAACTCGGCCATGGTTATTCTTCTTCGTTGGGCGCCACTATCAGGTTCAATGTTCCTTCTAACCTTCTTCGGGAACATACAAGGACCTGACTCGGAACAGAGAGCTTACTAAAGCTATGTTCACTAATTGTGGTAAGTAGACAGGATACAGACGAAGGGTATACAAAACCCTTTATTTTTCTCTATATACAATAACTTCCGTACTTCGGAATACAATGACCCACTACTTGTGGTCTAAACGTAAAAGTATAAAAATAAAACTAAACTCTAATTTAACTTTAGAATAATAAACGTGGAAGATTGGCCTTATAATTAACAGGAAGCGTATGTAGTACAGAGAACTGTGAACACTACAATACGTTTAAATTTATCAAGAGGATTAAAACCTCTGGCCTGGAAGGCAAACAGCAACTGCGTAAACTTCTAAGGTAAGCGGCCTGCTTCGAACTCACTGCTTCCTCTCTCTCGCCTGGCAAAAAGCCACAACTTAAATACTTGGAGTTCGCCAGACAAACTTTGCATAAAAACCTTAACGCTTATAATTCTGGCCGGAAGTAGAAAATAAGAAGTGATAGTAAAGATTTAAAATAAAATAAACGTTAGTAAAACTTAAGATCCTTACAAAGTTTCAATGATTTAAGAGTAATATGAGGAAGGAATAAATGCTCTTAAAAGGAGCCAATAATCAGTACAGGAATGTATGCTATTTATTTCTCGAGTGTTTGCAGTACAAGTAATTACAAAATTTCACACTGCAGTTTCAATAATTGTGATTCACTCAAGCCTTAAGGAAACTGAATTGCCTATAAGCTTCTGTTTCGCTGTTAACTTTAAGTACTGAGTGTACGTATCAGTAATCAAAAAATATTTTATTCATTTTATCTTGTAATACATTGCACAAGAATAAATTCGCTTCCTAAGACAGAAATCCAATATTTGCTACTGCTATTTGTTTTGCAAACATATTACACCAGTCACAAAATTTATTTGCTGGAAATAAATAGTTTTCTTCCGCAGAGCGTATGGAAGGAGCTAACGTGTCTGTCACTCATGTTTCAGTTCGCAAAAAAATATCGAACAAACAGAAAGTAAACCATTGTCACGCAAAAAGATATTTAAAATTGACATAGCGTCTGTCTGGGCATAGAGTCGTGAGCATTTGTAGTGATAAATTGTGAGTTCAGAATGAATAATATTCGCTATTCACCGATAATTGATTTCTTCTGTTAGGAATATGACAACTTACGCATTTTAGTGAAAGTATAGGGCCGAGGACTTTCTGTAAAAGATTTTATGTAACTCATTTTCATAAGCATGCTTGCTGCCACTAATTTAATTCAAGTATATTTATTCTTACTAGGCATAACAGCATGGAATATAATTAAGACACAATAGCACGCCGAATAAATACTAATTCAGAAGTTAAACAACAAAAATCAGCGTTATATTTACAAAGTTTTCACAGGACTAGTTTCGATAGTTTTACCGAACCACCATCCTCAGCTGCAAAACCGCAAAAGCGGTCATTTGCGGTTTTGTTGTTTGACTGATTTTTGTTGTTTGACTTCTGAATTAGCATGGAATATATTTAAATATTATAGTAATCTGGTTCCCGATATTTTTCAGTTTCTCAAGCTTCGAATTTTTCGAATATTTCTTCTGTGTCCAGGTAATTCGAAAAAATGAGTACTCTAATGGTTATAAAACATTTTAATTGAGATCTGTATTTAAGAACCAGAATTATATAGGAATATGACAACTTACATTAGTGAAATTATAAGGCCGAGGACTTTCTGTAAAAGATTTCTTATAACTCATTTTCACAAGCCTGCTTGCTGCCACTATACTTATTTAATTCAAGTATATTTACTCTTACTAGGTATAATAGCATGGAGTATATTTACAGTTTATAGTAGTCTGGTACCCGGTTTTTTTCAGTTACTCAAGCTTCGAATTTTTCGAATATTTCTTCTGTGTCCAGGTAGTTTAAAAAATGAATGTTTAAAAAAGGAATCTTATGGTTATGAAACATTTTAATTGAAAGCTATATTTAAGAACCAGAATTATATAGTTTATGCTTAATAGAAGATGCATTCTACCATATATGTTCGACGTAAACCAATAACTGCCATTGTCAACAACGAGAAATGCCAAATTCAATTAAAATCTTAATAGTAATTACATTTAGCAGAATATATTGAACAACTTGAAAGCTGAAATTACTTTTCGTCTTGAACAATTTTTAGAAGTCTAAAGCCGATATCCTAAAACTGCATTTCCGATATACAAATTTAAAAAAAAAATTCTATTCGGAGTTTTCTTTTATAGCATAACGGAATAAAGATCCCGACACCACAGTTTCCAGTTTCAAATTTTCCAATTTAGATCGCATTTATAATTTATTTTTAATAATAAACTTTTGACCGTGCGTTAGAAGCGTGAACAATTTATTGAATTATTAACAGGAATTAAATAAAGTTCCGTCAGTAAGTCCTTGTGGTATAGTGGTTAGTACCACAGTAGTGGTCTTTGTGATGTACAGTTAATAAGAGTAAAGTTCTAAGGAATTTTCTCTCTCCTTACCGTACGCCTTAGTGGTGTAATTGGAATCACGTCTGCTTGGCAATCGAGAGGCCCGGAGTTTGAATTCCAGCGAGGACACTGCATATTTTTCATGCTTCCTGCTTTAGCAAACCCAATAACTCTACGAAGTCTTAGGTTCGATTCTTAACGAGATCATGAGAGATTTTTCACAATTTCATGCTCCCAAAAAGGACTGTAATAAATGCAGCCTGAACTAAAATGCGATGCACGATAATTCGTTGTCCCCCTGTGTTGGCTAAGACATCTTCGTCGTCTTCCCTTTGTTGAACTTTAAGTGGGAGGATATAAGGAAATAAACTGCATTTCTGCCATTTGATCTTGATGAACTTGTCGGAATGGTATGACTATCAGCACAGTTTACAATAAAAACATCTCAGATTGAATTCCAGGAAGAACACATCCGCCTAATTATTTCTTGCTTCAATAAAACCTAATGCGTCTGTTATAGTCAAGCATGAATTCCCTTAACATAAAATTATTATCACAAATTTTTAAAAAAATCCTTATTTTGATTAAAAAAGTTCTTACCTGATATTCTTCGCGACTTTTTATAGCATTATTCCAGGACAGGATTTGTTTGTATACATAGAGAGCTTCACCGTTACGTCCCATCTGTAAATATTTTCATCAAATATTGGTTCTAACTAGTATAGAATATGTATAATAATTAGATTCCAATTAAGCATAGCATTAAGCTGCATAGTAGGCAGTTAATAGACCGATGTAGATTTTAATCACGTCATTCATTTTATGTATTAATAGTGCTAATCATAATTTTTAAATCTTGTTACATGACAGGCTATTATTTTCCCTTTTTAAAATTTTCAGTGTATGTTTTAATTCAGAAGTTTAAAGTTTTCGTACTTTAAGGCATAAAGAAAAATTCAAGTGAAAAACTCACCTCAAGCAGAAATCTAGGAGATTCTGGAAGGAAAGATGTTCCGACAGCAGATGTAATTGCCGGAATGGAACATATCAGGAGAAATTTTCTCCATCTTCCGAAATGCAGTCGCTTAGTGTCCATTATAGTTGTACCTGATGAAGAAATACGATTTCATTAACTACTGTTGGCAACTATGAAAACAATGGGCTGCTAACAACTTCAAAAATCATAATCATGCTTAAATTCTTAAGAAGTTTCTTGAAAATTTCTGACGTTTATGAACATAAATACAAACTCTATAAATGTGCACACTGAAAGGCGTTTTAAGAAAATATCCTAAGTTAGTTTACCTACTAAATTTATTAATTATTATTAAAAGCACTTAGCTAAAGTTATATAATTAAAATAAATCTATATACCATCAGTTTTATCTTACTGGGATTGTAAAAGATTAACTTAAAGAATTGTAAAGAATACTCGTAGCATTTGTTACTATGCTTGACTGATGTTGGAAACTGCTGAAGTTTCAGAAGCGCAAAGGGTATGTCAAGTGATACGAATCAAATGAAATAAATGTAAGGACTTTATTTACTTTCCTCCTAAATTGTAAATTAAGTGGATTATGATATACTTGAGTATTGTTTGCTCTTCTCAAATATTTGGGGATTAGAGTACATGACTAGAAGTCAGAAGTACATTACTTATTTGCAATGCAAGTAATCACATTTTGTCGTGCTTCAAGTATCTCACTTGCGAACTCGATCAGTTGAAGAAAGATGCATGAATTACGGTCTTTTCTGATTTCTAGACTCAGTGCAAAAGTTTAGAATGAATTCTAAATTTTTATTCTGACTTTTACTGTTATTTAAAGTGGCGCTTCAAAATTATATGCTTACAGATGCAAATTTAGTTTAAAAATCTTAACTTTAAAACATTACATCATAATATAACTATGCTTTTTTTTTTTTTTTTTGCTTAGCTGGGTAGCAATTTACTGAAACATTTCGTGGATTTTAACAAGTTTCCGTTTTCTTAATTAAGGCGTCTTTACAAAGTACTCAAAGAAAATACAAGCATATGAAACTCACAGATTAAATGTTGTAAAAAGAGTGCACTTACCACTCTTTGGAATTATTCCCCAAGCTAAGACGGCTACGAATATTCCACCAAGAGCCCAGAATGCGAGTAAAAAACTAAGATGTTTGCCTCTGTTCTTACGAACTAGAAATTCGGAATAAAATGTGAAAACAATTGGTAAAGATCCACCGATTCTGTAAAATAGAATATACAAATTTAGAACGTGTCTCTAGTTTCAAATTTATAGTTCCTATAGAACTGGTATAAAGAGTGCAAATTTTTAATTTTCAAAAAGCGACAGACAACTTGTGTTAACCATTAAAGGTTTTGAGCATCATAATTTATACAATAGTTTGTTTTATAAAAAAAGCACATAGAATTATTATTATTTATTAGAAAAACAATCTTTCGAAACAATTTACTACAAGCTAAAGAACACGGTAAACCGACCACCTTGTTATAATACTTCTTAAGTCTGACAGCGAGAACATTTCTTGAAATAATGAATTAGTTTATTGTTAGGTAATTTCGTTTTATTTCAGTATATTTTTCTCAGGCTCAAAAAATTCTTTTAAAATATTAAATAAATGTTTCTTCTTAAATAAAGTTTAAACTGGTTTTCAGGAACTTTCACTTCAATATGAGGGAAATAATAGATATATGTACCAAGTTCGCCTTTCAGATTTGTACCTAAGTTTATCTGACAAGAAATGCATTTTATATTAAGTACCTTAGCACTAAATATCCCACGTATACTTGGATTGGGATTAATTCGTTCATTATTGTAAAATCAATTTTAGCTCACACTAGCTAATTAAGAACTGTAACTTAAATTGGATTTCCGAACATTTAATCAAATGTGAAACGAATATAAAACGAGACTGTAGCTACGCTTTGCAAAGTTAAGTAACTGACTTGAAAATATGAAGCAATGTAATGTCTCTGCCCGGGTTAGAAACTGAGACTAAATCTTTTATATCTAAAGGAGAAGGGTTTGGGAATTGAGAGCGGCCACATATTTAAATATTTTTAACTTCTCCCAGTTGTAACTAGCTTGATTATTTTACAATTGTTCCCCTGATGCATATAATTTTAATAACAATTAAATAGCAGAACCTTAATATGTGTGAGTCTTCAGTCTTGAATTAGAAGCAAGAAGTATTTGGTTGCTATCAAGACCAGAACAATTTTACAAAGCGCTTAATCTAGAAATATTTATTTTTCACTTGAAAAATTTTTTTGGCTGAGGAAAGTCTAAATCCATCAAAAAGTAAATCTTCCCTAAGATCAGACTCACTCAGATTCGCTAAATATTTCGAAGCCTTTCCGATACCCAATTATTGATTTAATTCGTGATTTTCAACACAAAAAGTTTATTTTCTTTTTAATATTGTCAACAACACTTTTATATTAATCTAGCGACACCACACTGCAGCCAGTGACTGACCTTATCTTGGAGTTTTGATTTAGTTGACCAATTTTTATTTTATGGTTTGACTTCTTTTTACTCTCATTCTGAACTCATATTTTCTACAAGTATGCATTTTAAGGATCATGCAGATTAAGAAGACGAATAGAGATATAACGGTTTAGCAAATTTTAGAGCAGGATATTTTTCTGAATGAGTTTAAATGACCTTTCTGTACTTGATCCCGACTGTCAGTAGGTTCAGTAAGTATATAATCATTATAATTAACACTTAGTATGTTAATATTATAGCTATACCACTAGGCTATAAAATGAAATTTCAGATCGCCATCATTTTGACCCTGCTTCGATCACACGGAAATTAGATATTGTTACTGACGTTGTTAAGTTCTGTCTAATTTCTGAAACTTTCGCAGGAGATTTAAATTATAAACTTAGTTTCGCTTTAATGCATGGGCTGTAAAAGCCAATAAATATTTATTATTTGCAGTCCAATTCTTAATAGCGCTATCCTGACTTTTAAGAAATAAATTTAGTAAAGATTAGGACGCTATATACAGTACTTGACGACGATAGAATAAAATACGCTTTTGTGTCTGATTTGGATTTTATATAATAAGAATTTCCTATCTTGCACAAATGAACTTCTTTATACAAAGAAACTTCGCACAAATGAATGTTGCATAAGGCAACTTTGCATTGTGTTAACGAACTTTGCATAAATGAAATTTTAACAAAAGAATTTCTACACAAATAAACTTCGAATAAAACAGTTGGAAAAAAAAGAACTGTAGCAAATAACTTTACACAGCATTAAGGAATTTTGCATTAAGAAATTTAACATAAAAGAATTTTCGCTTTAATAATCCTTGCATAAATGAACTAGTAAACAATGCATATTATGCGCAAATACTTTTTAATAGATAATTTTTTTATTCAGATTACACATGAGACCTGACCTATCTGATTTGAGAAACGTTCTGAAAAACTCAAGAAAGACGGAATAGGATTTATTATAATTTAAGGCAAAGAATTCTTTTGTAAATATTTTGCTAATAGAGTCATTGAATTAATATAAATTCTGCCACAAGCAAATAATAATAGAGTTGAAACCGTACATCTATGTATACTGTTTGAACCATCCAGTTGGTGCATAAAATTTCAAAACAAATAAGGCTTTAGTTTCTTATATATATTTCTGTAAAAGTCCTTAACTGGCCTATGATTTTGGAATTCCTTTAGTCGTAGATCTATACCTGGAATTAAAAAATGCTTTAAATGACACAAATATTCATGCTTAGTCAATTTTTATTTTAAAGAAATCAATTTTATAAAAATTTAGAAATCTAATATTTTTATACTTTTCTCCGGCCCCTATACTTATATTTAAAAAAAAATTCGTGCTCCTTATAAAAAAATAAGACATAAATGGGTGACTTCCTTACGACAGAAATTAATTAAGTCGGAGAGCGTAATCAGGGTCCTACATATACCGAATGCTATTGAAAAGTACCTACAAACAAAATAATGGCACTCTCATTTAAATAAGTTATTGATATTTCACACATTTAACTGTGTTTTGATTACAAACATGAGCTTCAAGATACCATCTGTATGAGTAAAAACTTGATCATCACTCACCCGATACTACTGCACAGACGAGTTATCATGAGAAGTGAGTAAGTTGGCATAAAAGCAGTTATGACACCAAAAATTCCATTGCTGGCTAGGGCTGTTAGTAAAGTACGTCTTCTTCCCAGCCTATCCCCCATAATGCCCCATACGAGAGCTCCGATCATCATCCCGATGAAAGAAATTGTACCTGTACGGCAATAAAAAATGCATGATGAGACCAGCAAATCACTACTGTTATAGCTTTACACTAATAAAATGTTTGTTATGATACTGATATTAATTCATCCATTTAGCTCAATATCTTTTTATCAGAACTAAGAAATAACTTTTAGACTACGCGATGAGTATTCGTTCCCTGAATTACATAGAAATAATTCTCTGACGCAAAAACTTTTACTTAATGTGAGGACAAGCCTTAAATTTTGATGATTTAATTTGAATCGTTTTTCACCCCAATTGAAGATGACAAGGTTTGCGGCTAGCAGTTTGAGGGTGAGTTAAAGAGACGAAGCGACTATTGTCTCTTGGTCTCCTTGGCATTCATTCATATTGTTGCGTGCGTACGGGTTCGTTACGAAATTAATGCACAAGTCCGATGAAAAATGAACAAAACGTATTATTATTACAACAAGAAGACTTAAATTTCCTCAGATATTCGTGCAGTATTACAATATCTCACAGTAGTTATCTTTTAACTACTCAAACGTTCAAGAGAACTTAATTCGAAACAGCTGAAGAAAGCTAATCCGCGAATTCGCTACAATCAACAAGAGCAGTTTTCTAAACAAACTTTTAAAACAACAACAAACTAATATCACACCGAACTGAGAGGTTTTCCTCCTTTTATAAGACTTTAAATCGCGAGTGAGAATTTTCTGGAACTTTCTCGAAATCAAAAAGAGATATTTATTTACTAAATGTTAAATGCACGTGCTCGTGTATTTTTAATTTTCCTCCTTAGCTTTCCTTTAATATTCATCACTTGCTGCACTGCGCGGAGAATAAAATAATTTAATTTATAATTCAACTAGCATTAGCTATTTAAATACCAAATCCGTAACACTGGCCCCTTCCCAAGGACTGCACGCCCCGGGCAGTATAATCCCTGTATAGGAAGCCAAACTTACAACTAAGGCATAAATGCAATAAACAACATGAACACTAAATGCAATAACTAACATAAACAAATTAAATGTTATCAAATATTAAATACAAATAAAATACTAAATACACATTTAGAGACAAAAGGACTATGGTCTTACACTATTTACAATTATTTACATTACGTAGTATGGCCATAGTAATGAGCTAACCTGTTGTAATGAACGACTTTAGGTTTAGAGTTCGAAAAGACTTACGGATCCGAACCACGACGTCATTCAGCCTGTTTAGGATTGTGTACGGACCATCCTAAAATGACTGTAATTTTGGACAGAGTCCTTTCCGTCGAGTTGATTCCACAACCAAACCTTGTCTCCTTCGTGCAATTGATGTCCAGTAACTCTCGTATCGTATCTGGTCTTCACTTTCTCCGTCTCCGAGTTGACTCGCTTTCGTGCAGAACGATGCATCACTTCAAATCGGGGCTGGATATCTTGAATGTATTCCTCAGGAGATGAAGGCGCATCTGTAGGGCGAGCAAACAGGCGGTCACAAGGCAGACGAAGGTCTCGACCGAAGAGCATCTGAGATGGTGAATAGCCGGTAGTTTGGTGTTTCTTTCCGACCCTAGTATGATTTCGGCAGCTTTCTGAGTAGGGTCTTTCACATTAGACGTCGGCGTTTCCAGGCAATGACGCCTTTTGAAGATGGATCGTCATGTCCTCAGATGCTGAGAACAGCTTATTGTTTTTGAAGTCTAAAGAAAAATTATATTTCCTTAAAAAATTCAATCCGGAGTATACATGAATCTGTAATATCCGACACATATGCCGTGTGATGGTAGGCAGCACTTCCAAACATGATGTTCACATTTAACTTCCCAGTTATGTCGATCTTATCACCAGATGCAGTCTGAAGGGTAACACAGGATGGCGTCCAAATAAGTTTATCTTTAAACTGTTGAGCTAAATTTTGATGAACATCCAGGGGGACGGGTCGGAGGTCTTTCACCTTTTGCTTTCTAATGAACTCAGTTATTTGAAATCAGCTACCATTGACAGAGGATGTTTTCAATGTTGTTTATTAAGCTTTCAAAACGTGTTCGCCTTGCCATCAAGGAAGACATTTCGCTGTTAGAAATAACATCAATAGCCCTGCTGTTATTCCACTTCATATCTTATCAGTTACAAAGTTACACAGATTCTCCAGAAGTTCAACCTTCAGTTAATTTTGTCACATATAATAAAATTCGTTTTTCATCCGTTAAAGATTCCATCTCTGACTTGGAGAATCACAATATTTTGAAAGAATTCTTGTTTCTGCTCTCTAAAGAATATCTTGTGAAAGTGGTTTGAGATAAATTGGGAAATCTAAAAGAGCGTTAAAATTTCGCTTCAAGGAACATGAATTCTTATGTCTGAAAAGGAGAAATAAACAAATCTTCGCTAATTAATTATAATTAGAAACCTAATTACAATTTTGACTCTGTGTCTGAGAAAATTTTCCATGAACTTTCTTTAGTTGTATAATGGATTTCTTTGAAGAGTTTCACAATCACACGCAAAAGTTGTCTTCTTCAGTTAAGGTCATTGACTCCAATCCAGTCCTTCTTAACAATTTTAGAATTTTAATTACTTGATATTTCGCGTTTCATAATTAATTTTATCGAAAGATGTCGCTACATTCATATTCACTTTGATTCCTCATTTCTGTCGATATAAGTATAGTCTTCGCTGCTCCCCTTCAACAGAGCTGTTGTTGCTTCTGAATAAGAGGGACATGTATCCGATCGCAATCGAAATCAATAGAATTTTGCTCAAAATCTACGCAAAAATTATATTGCTGATTTGACTAATTGTGGAGTTCTCATATGAGCAGTTTCATGATTTTATAAAAAGTTCTTTTAAGTTATCACAGGAGCAGTAAGAATTGGTAGAATTCCGTATATCTCTTTAAAGTGGATCTTAATTCTTAGAGATGATTCTATGATTCATTATTATAGCTAATCAAGGTTTTCTTTCACTGATGAAGAAAATGAAAATGTATAATTATGATGCGTTTGCAACAGTTTTTAAATGAATAAAAATTTTTCATTACTGCTTCAGTGTGCTACTTTATACGTTGTAAGAATGGCTTAAAAATATTAGTTTTTTTAATTACGAAAATTGTATAAATAACATTTCTTAATTTTTAAAAGTAAAATTTAGAAAAATAATTTAATGTAAATGTCTTCCACATCATGCCAATTACTTAGACTTGCTACAAGAATTTCTTTCTTCTGACACCTATGTAAATAAAGTACAATTTAAGTATATCCTAACGATTAGGCTTCCTCGATTAAGGATCGATCATCTGATCGATCAGTTATCGTTAAAATATTTGGTAGTTTAAAAAGTGTAAAAGATTTAAACAATTTTTGTCTTCCCTTTACTGAAAAAGAAAAGTGTAATTAAGGATGAAGGAAAGTATTTAATGTTTTGAAAGTAAGTTTGTATTTGGTAAAACATATCTTTTATATTATAACACAGGAAATATTTGTAATCAGATATTTCTGGTTTTATGAACAGCACAGAGATAAATCATTACATACTTCGAAGATAAATAACGTGGACTCTCTTTTTGCATTCAGTCTTCAGTTGCCAAAGGGTTAAAGGTGAGAAATATTAATAATTTTCTTTTATTTCTAGCTGTTGAGCAGTCTGCATGTATAGACGATTTCATAATATTACCTAGGTTTACTGGTTATTGCAGTTTAGAAAATCTTCCATGAAGGTGTCCCATCCTTTAGATGGATAGCCCTAGTGTGTTTTGCGATTGTTAAGTTATTTATTTCATTAAGTTTGCTTTAAGTTTGTGCTATATTACTCAGAAAGGAAAGTTTGAAATTCCTATATTCTAAAACAATGTCTTTAACGGCACGATTTTATGAAGAGCATATAAATTATTTAATAAATTTTTGTAATGCAGCAAATAATATAACTTGATTATAACAGTAAAAACTGCTGATTCGGAGTAAAAAAACTTCTAACTGATTAAGAAATGTCACGGTAATTTTATTAACTCTATCTGCGAAATCAAGGCAGTTCCCTTAAACGTTTCTTAACATAGTCGGCAAATTTCCAAGTTCTTTCTTAGAAAAAGAAATTAATGCTACTCCAAAATACTAAGGCGAAAAATTCTCTTTTCCTGGGAAATTTGCCATTTATGTAAGCTCAGCTGCTAATCTGAAAATAATTTCAATTGGAAACGCTAACGTCTCCATTATATAGTTTTTTAAGAAGAAGAATAAGGCATTTCTTTTCCTCTTTTTGTCGTGGACGAAAACAAAATGTATATAAATATAATTTTCTGTGTCTTTACTATGCTAATAAAATTCAATCTTTTTTTCCTACCTTCCTTGGTAAAGGGTGTTTCTAAGATTTTTACAGCTTTGTTTCTGCTCTCTAAGAAAATAACAGTAACTGAGAATATCCAGATTATTGAGAAAATTTTCTGAGATGAATACTCCAGAAATATGTTTCTCGATTTTGTATGTGATTCCTACGGGATTTATTCTTATATGACCCTATTTTTAATGTAGACATTTATTTCAATTTCTCCATTTATACTGATACGGAAAACAATTTTTCATGGTTATTAAAAATAGAAAACAATTTATGACTGCCCATTTGTTCTTTTAATATTTAAGAACTAGAAGAATTCGATTACTGGTTTCTTTGGAAAGAAGTAAGGGGCTTTTCTGAATTTCTTGTGTCTTTAGATTTAAGTGCTAGTTTAAGTACAGACATTTGCAAAGGCGAACAACTATGCAAGACTCTTAGAAGATTCTACAGAATCTCCTATCTGCGTTTGACCGGGTTGCCCCGAGAAAAGAGATTATAAGTATTCACCTGTTCGATGAACAAAATTTAATGCGTAATTCTGCGATTAAACAACTGATGAGTGTGTTACTTGTAGTATTTATAATAGCGACTATGAAATAAAGTGATTAGTATAATATCTAATGACTCTAAATAAAGGTGCATGTGGAGGAAAATTTACATTCAGATTATAAAATTCATTGTTTGATAGCATGTGACTAATGAA